ACCAGAACTGCCATTTGTAAGATGGAGAAAATTGGGGAGCAACAGACTGGGAGAAGCAAAGATCCATGAGTGTTAAGTTTGAAAAGCTTATTGGATTTATAAGTGAAGATATAAATCTGCAGTTTGGTGTTTTCAAATATTACCAATGGTTTTAGAGAGTCCTTACTGTTCAATAAGAAACTAGAAGCACAGTAGTTAAATAAATGTTTCCTTTATCTAGGGCAGGGGTGCACATCTGCTGATAGTATACTTTTGACCACTGAGCTATTTAGAAACCAAACATTAAGTCAGTCATTGCTTTAATGCCCGTCTTGCATCTGGTAGGCACTCAACATAGGTCCAGCTAATAAATGGATGGGGGTACTTGCTTACCAATTCTGCAAGACAGCCTAGTTTACTGGAGAGCACCTTACAAGTATCATTATTATAATGGCAGGCTACCTAGTATGTTATCACTCTCTCTAGTCCATTCCATATAACAGAAACACTTAAGAAAACCACTGCTACATCAGTTCTATACTTAATTATATAACAAAAGTATCTCAGTAACTTATTTACAAAACACGTATTTTTTCCTTCTAATTTACGCTGATTCTAAAAATAGCTCATTGGTATACTTAGTATAATATGCAATTCCAGTATTCATAGAAATGCTTCTCACATTCCTCTATCAAATAAAATAAATTTAACAATATCCTATCTATTCTCAGAGAACATGATGGCTTATCAAAATACTATTAGCTTTCACCCTGGCTGGAGTAGCTCAGTGGATTGAGCGCGGGCCTGTGAACCACACGATCGAGGTTCGATTCCCAGTCAGGGCACATGCCTGGGTTGCAGGCCAGTTCCCAGCAGGGGACTCATGAGAGACAACCATACATTAATATTTCTCTCCCTCTCTCCTTCCCTTCCCCTCTAAAGATAAATAAATAAAATTAAAAACGAAACAAAACAAAAAACCCTGAAGTTATTAAAAAAAATTAGCTTTCAATGTGAGCGATTTCACAATCAAGTCCAATGACATGTACTTTCAGACTTACGAAGCCTGAACTTAAGGAATAAGAATATAAATGACATTTAAAAATTCAAACTAACCTTTAACTTTAACCTTAGATTTTTTGGCCTTCTTTTCAATGACTTCATCCTCTTGATCCACCTGTTCTATCTTGCGTTTTTTAGGAAAGGTTGGTAGTGTGGAGTCACCAGAAGGATCGTAAGTCTTCACTTCACTAAAAGAGCAAAAGAGTTTTAGAAAATCTCTACAAATATTTGCAACTGCAGTAACTCTAAAGAGATTTAAACAAAATGCCATTAGATTAATACTTACATGAGCTTTATAAAATGCTATTTCATTTTAGTGGCTTTGGGGCACTTTAGGAAAACAAAGTTTCCAAAAGGAAAAGAGGTATTAACATATTCCAGGTAGGTCAATTACACTTCGAGAGAAGTGGTGGGCTAAATGAATTCTGAGTAGCCAATGTGACTACAGTATAGAAAAATTTTCAATCACGAGAGGAAAAATGGGAGAAAAATCTTTACACCAAATGATTACATACCAGAAAAGCAAAAACTGAACCAATTTAAGTTTTTAAGTTAAATTGGTAGTTTACCTTACCAATTTAAGATAAATTCAGGGAAAACCAAACCAAAGCAAAAGACCTCAATCAGGTTTACTCTCATAACTGGTGCTTTAAATGCATGTGTTTGAAATTATAAGCATAATGACAAGAAAGTATTAAAAATTGTTAAAAATAAGCTAAGGAGGAGTATTCTATTTCTTAACATGACTTATAGGCTCATGGCTTTCACTTTTACAGATTAAAACCATCTATAATTTAAAAAACAAAGACCCACATTTGTCAACCAAGGACAACAAATCAGATTTGGAAAATTCACAAACTACAAAACACTTTTTTCTGAATGTGTGTATTTATAAACATATAACATATTTTTAAGACTTCCGATGCACAATCTGTTCCCAGAAAAGCTTTCCTACATTCCACCTCCATCGTAACAACCCCATCAGTATTAAGCATCACCTCAAATGATAACCAAAACACAATAACCTCTTCCCACAGTATCTTTTTGTTACTTTTATGGTGAAGTCTACAAACTTTACCATGCCTCTTAGCTATTTTTAGACTTTCCTTTTGTCTCTTAAAAAAATAGGTTAGATTAACTCCGACAGAATACTCTTTTTGATACATGGTATACTATACAGGAACTATGAATGACAAATATTTACTATTAAACACTTGGAAATGAGTATGGTAAATATTTAGAAAAAAGCCGAAGCAAATACGTGCCAATTACAATGTAAATATGTGTTTTTGATTAAAAACCAAAAATAGGAAAAACTGTGAATGGCAAAAAGAGGGAAGGAACAGAGGTGCTTCTGTTTACAATACAAAACTGCTATCAATGACAAACATTTAAATAAGCAGAAAGTCCATCCATCCTCCCCATGTACTCACCTCTTATGTTCATACTTTTCTGCTTTCGCTAATGCTTTTCCTGTTCCACTTATTTTCCTTATCTAAGAAAAGGAAAATCATTAATATTCTAAGGCATAATCTCTTTATAGTATATACTTCAACATATCAGTTATTGGTAAATATAAGAAAAACTGTTAACACCAGGCACAAAAATGTATTAGACATATTAAAACATATTACAAAATTGTTTAGCAGGTAAAGTAAGTACATAAACCACTCACAGCTCATTGACTTTCAACAGGTAACACTTCAATAGGCATGGTACGTTTCTTACCCCTCTATCTTCCAAGGCCCTCAACCTGGCTTCTAATTTGGCTCTGTTCTCAACTCCCATTGCAGAACTGGAATCTTCACCAAAAGCATCATACCGGATAGCCAAAACAGTTTTGGCTGCCAACATTCGAGAAATCTAATAGAGAACTTGAAGTCAGAAACATTCACACTAGGATTTTAATTCAAAACACGAATTATAAAAGTACTCTGAATCATACAACTCAAGCCATCTAATCTTATAGTTGAAATCTTTGCCACAATATAATCGCTAACATGTTATATTTAACCACCATCATTTCGGTAGATTAAAAGACTTTTCAGTGGTTCATGTGTAAAATGAGCGCAAACTATTTTTCCAAATTCCCCTTTTAGTTTCTACTCAGGAACATTAGTTCTATACCATGAGGTCAAGAAGAAAAAATGTAGTCCTCTTTTCAAGCTAATTAACATTTTATTTTATTAAACCCTTTATTTTTCCTCTCTGCTCTAAATTTTATAGAGAGGGGAAGAAACAGATGAAGAGACAGAAAGAAATAGCAGTCAGCTGTCTCTCACATGCCCCCAATGGGGGACCCCACCCCACAACCCAGGCCTATGCTGTGACCAAGAATTGAACTAGTGACCTTTCAGTTTGTGGGATGACACCCAACCCACTGAGCCACACCAGTCAGGACTTTTGATGTGCCACCCACTCCTTCCCTCACCAACAGGTGAACTCTAGGAAAACACTAACGTAGTGAAAGAAAATGGCTTTAACAGGACCAATAAATATACTTTCTCTTTAAACTTTTTCGTTCAGTATACAAAGTGCTTTTTATTTAAAGAATTCACCATTCTCTATTCAATGAAAAAAAATAGATTTATTGCATACTATGGAGTAAGAGGAAAATAGAGAAAAAGGCCTACCTCATAAAAACTAACTTACCTTTCCTTTGTGTTTGGGACTTGTCTGGCCTACAAGTGAAGCATGATAAATGAGACCATACTTAGGGGTATCTCGTCTAGATTTTAGAGCTCTGAAAAGTGCCTTTTCTGCTCCAAGAATTTGAACTGTAGAAGCTGCATGTTTGGCCAAATTCAAGAGAGAACCTTCAAAATAAAAGTAGTTACCAGAAATCAGTTTTTAATTATTCCAAAGTTTCATACACTAAATAAACACAAGACCTACAGCCTAAATGATTCCATCCTTGCAGCTGAGGAGTTATGAATGACATATGTGATCAATGAAGGGTCTATTATAATTTAAATACTTTGCTATAAATGACACATTAAGATCTTCTGTGATGGCCAGTAATATAAAATAATGAACTAGTACCTCACTGTACCTTAAATATTCAATTATACCATTTGTGTAGCATCCATCTTTATAATATCACCACACACAGGTATTAAGTTTTATTATATATAACTCCCTTGAAATGTATTTTATGCCAAATACATTAAAATATAAAACAGCATATTCAATTGTCAAACATTCTCAATGACGTTTCAGTCAATGATGGACTCCATATAGGACAGTGGTATTCCATACAGCCTAGGTGTGTAGTAGGCTATACCATCTAAATAGATTTGTGCATTTCATGATGACCACACAATGATGAAATGGCCTTAATGATACATTTCTCAGAACGTATCCCCATCACATAGCAGTACATAGCTGTATCATCACCACCTGTTGTGAGTTCTTAAAACTATTCAAATTTTAATCCGATGAGTTTTTTAAATTTCATTTTCCAATTAAAGTTGACCTTCAACTATTATTTTATATTAGTTTCAGGTGTATCGCATTATGGTTAGCCAGTCATACACATGATCCCCCCCAACATTTCAAGTGTTCACCTGGTACCTTAAAAGTTATTACAGTATTGACTATACTACCTGTGTTGTACTTTTACATCCTTGTGACTATTCTGTATGGTTGCCTCTCATGCGTCCCCTGCTGGAAACTGGCCTGCAACCCAGGCATGTGCCCTGACTGGGAATCAAACCTTGATACTCTGGTTCACAGGCCCGCGCTCAATCCACTGAGCTATGCCAGCCAGGGCTCTTGTGACTATTCTGTAAACACCAATTTGTACTTCTTAAATCCTTTAACTTTTTCACCCAACCCCCTAAACCCCTGGCAAGCATCAGTTGATGACTTTGTAATATTATAAAATATTAGCTGATTTCATCCTCTTGTATTCACCTGACTACTGTACTTAACCACAACAAACTCCTGACAATGGACAAGTGTCTCAGAAGAGGTAGTGACTAAAGATGCCTTCATTATCCAAAATGAATTCACGCATCAAATAAAAATCATCATTGAACACTGGTCCTTAGTCCTCACCCATATACACCTACTACTTCTATTATATAAATTTGTTAAATATATTGTTAAATTTCTTTAACAACTGTAATTTAAATTTAAAGATTAAAAACAAATCCTTGCTAAAACACTCAATTCTAAATACCCATGTTTACAAATTAATTAAAATCATCACCAGCATGAGCAATAAGCCTTGCTCCAACCAATTCCCCGACCATGACGGTAACGTTGGGTGCAATGGCCATCATTCGGTTTTGTAGGTATTCATAGAGCTGGGTTCTATATTCTGAGATTTCAATCACCTAGCATAAGGAACAAAAAAGAGCAACTCATAAATGATTAAGAGCAAAAACAGAGTATAATTCACATGTCTAAAGCATTAGAGTGCTACATCTATCATTAGGGCAGTTGTGCAATCCTAGGAAAACTATCCTCCTTACTTCAGTTTCCTTTAAAATGGCTGCTGTGAAGATTTTTTTATTAGATAATGCATTTAAACAACTTAGTATACTGCTAAAAATGTTTGCCAATATTACTGTTATTTTAAAAGCCTCCAAGGACTAGACATTTGTGTCACCCTCTGATTCTTGTACAGCTATCTCCAAAAGAGAAAGAAAAAGTCACTACAGGTTATAAACATAAAAGTCAGAATTAAGTAACTCAAGTTATCCTCTGCCTTCTTAATAAATTTATTCTGACAATGTAACAATACAAATATATTAGTGCTCTTAAATTTATTTTAGCATATATTTCTCTCTGTAAGTATATAAACCAAGATGGCATCAGATGAGGTAGTGACTGAACACCCTCATATTATTTATCAGGTGAACAATAAGTTTAAAAATCATCATTGCCATCAGAAAATTATTATTACAGTGCTGGTATCACAACTGGTTTCTTTATGCATATAGTTCACCTGAGTGCAGAGATGCAGAATGTTGCAAATATCTTCTTCTGAAACCTCTGTTCCCATAGATATCTCTGCAGCTGCTTTCACTTCTGCTTCAACTTCCTCTGGCAGTATTTCAGAAAGTTGAGCCGAGGCATAATTCTTCCTATCGCCTATGGAATGTTTGCAGAGGATGAAGGAGAATCACTCTTCAACAAATTATACAAAATCCACCAAACAATCAAAAAGAAAAAGTAGAGATAAGCCAATGAAAAGGGTGCCTAAACAAAACAAAAAGCGAACAAGTTTGACCTAGTAATTTCCCTGTATAAAGGCTCGATTTTAGAAATTGTAATCTCTCCCCATCACCTCCCTCAAGAGAAATCTACCAACCACCACCACCACCACCACCAAAAAACCCCCCCAAATACCCCATTCAATAGGACTAACGACAATGTGACAATTTGCAGTTAAGATTATACTGAAGCTAGGACCATGAAGTCTTAGAGTAATATTATAAAATGTAATATAATTCATTTATTAATACTCAGCACCCTCTACTAACAGTTTTATTAGTATAGAATATGATGCTACAGACAGCAATATTACCTTTAATGTTAATTATTAATATGCTTCAGGATACCCCCATCTACAGTTGCCCCTATTAATGGTAAATTCATTATTAGACACATTCACCAGAAAAATGTTAAGTCAAATTAGAGACCAACATCTGTAGCACAGGACCTCAAAATCAAGGTTAAAGTTAATTTTGTTTTTGAAATCTAAGAGATATTAATATGGCTACACTCCTAAAACATAAGTTATTAGAAACCCTGGGAAGTTTGTTAAGGAAAAAAATTGTAACTCATGTTTTCGTATGCAAATAAATTATTTTCAATGCCTTAAAGCATAAAATTAACTCACCAACTTTCTGCAAACATTTGCAGTATGTCAAGTTATCTGAAATAATTTTTCCTAATTCAGGAAAATGCCAGCCATACCATTCTCTACATCGCATAATGTAGTTGTTTAGTTCTTTATCTAAGTCATCCAACAAGGCTGCAGTAGATTAAAATGAAAAAACATGAAGTTACATGGTTTGATTGTGGTAAATATCCATAAAACCTACCACTTAAATAATTTTTCAAGTATACATTTCAGTGGCATCAAGTGGCTGAGCTACGCCAGCCAGGGCTTAAAGGTATTTTTTAAATTGAGAATTAAGACTCTGACATTTCAAAAAATAATTTAATGATACGAGAGAATGACCTAATAAAGTTGGGCCAAAAAAGCAAAACACAACACAATACTAAGCCCACTATGGTTTTAGGATTTTTCATGGAAAAAGAAAAATTGATTTACATTAACAGTGTAATTTACAGTGTCTCCAAGTAGTCAAATTATGAGTAGTTCTTCCTTTTTCTAATCTGGATCCAATTTCTTTAAGAAATTGGTTATTTTCTTACTGGTTTCTTATTGGTTTCTTTAAGAATTTTGGTTATTCCCCTTGACAGGTGTGGCTCTGTTGGTTGGGTGTTGTCCCACCAAGCTAGTGGTTTACATTCCCCACCAGGACACATGCCTGGGTTGTGGGTTTGCTTTTCTCCTTCCCTCCCCCTCTCTTTAAAAACAAATTTTAAAAGTCTACCTGGCTGGTGTAGCTCAGTGGATTGAGCATGGGCCTGCGAACCAAAGGAACGCAGTTTGATTCCCAGTCAGGGCACATGCCTGGGTTGTGGACCAGTTCCCAGCATGGGACGCATGAGAAGCAACCATACGTTGATATTTCTCTCCCTCTCTCTTTCCCTTCCCTTCCAAAGATAAATAAAATCTAAAAGATAAATTTTAAAAGTAAATAAATTTTTTAAATCTTGAAAAATTCTAGCTAACCTGGCTTTCTCTAGAGAATTATAAAAGATACAGTTTTGGGAATAGGGAAAAACCATGTAGAACAGAGTAGATCTCATATGCACTGTACTTACAAATTGCCTGGACAATCATTGTGTCCACTTTGTCAGCACTAAATTTCAATCTGTAACGAGACAAGCTGGGGGGAAAAAGGAAGAAAACAACAAATTGTTAAGATAGCATTGATGAAAAGCATTTAACTAACATCTTAAAAGCTTTTAAAACTCATATCCCCCCCTCAGAGCTACATCATTTTATTTTTATTTTTTTCTACACAGGAAAATCAGTTGCAGCATCAGAAAACACATATTTAATAAGAAAGTAATACATCCGTCCTGCTGTAACCTATAGTTCTGAAACATTAATTTTTGAATGACACCTCGGATAATGCTGTGTAGTACCAGTCATAGTGATTAATAAATTATTTTTGCAGCATATTAATGCTTTAATCAGCAGTAAGGGAAAAATGCAGCACTGTAACACCTGAAAATAGAAAGCTATGGAGGAATAATACTGTATTATAAGGCTTTCTTAATCTTAGCACTATAAACGTCATAAGCCTCGCAGTCTTTGCTGGGGGGGCAGGGGCAGCATTCTGTGCATTGTAGGACGTTTAGCAATATACCTGGCCTCTACCCATTATGTTAACGACAAATCCCCCTTGCAGTTCTAACAACCAAAAAAGTCTCTATACATTGCCAAATGTCTTCTAAGGGATATGTTCACACTGCTGTAATCAATGCCAATTTAATTACAAGTTTGAATCAACACAGTTTAGTTATTTGTGCTCTCTTAGAAGTGCTTATTACAAAGTTCTTCCTGACTTTTGGTCATTTTGCCTATCTCTATAACTCAGCAAAGCTTTAACCATTAATCTATGCTCAATATTTTCTGTTCAAAGGTACAGACCTTTGTTTACAGTATCTTTTTTTCCTGTGTTGTTTTTCAGAGCTACTGCTTCTAATAGTGCTCTGCTCGGTGAGTTGCTAAATTTTGAGTAGTCTACCCTTAATCTTACTGTTTCTTCACGAACTCTCTTTTCAATGCAACTTCACGGAATGTCAAGTTTTTCAGGAATACATACATATATTGCAGTACAGCACTAATAATGGACTTCTGGTTAAAGGATAGGTTAATGTACTTTTCTTTGCCTTATTAAAAATACATAAAACTCAGAGTAAAACAAGCAACACAGATGGACACATATACAAAAAGGAGGTCATAGCAGGTGAGAAAATTAAGTGGACAACAGAGTAGCAAATGTAGCAGATTAAGGAGGGGATGGGAGGGAGGGGAAACAAAGCCCAAAAGTTGTGGAATCCAACACCACAGGGGTAGACTCCAATGCCTACAGTGAGGTTTAGAGTCCAAGCAATGAAGCCAGAAAGCTTGGGTTCAAATCCTGGCCTCCTCATATATCGGCTGTATTGATCTTGGGCATCCATTTTCTCATCTTTACTACTGATTGTTAGAATTAACAATTCTAGAGAATTGAATTAGTATGTGTAACATGCCTGTAACACTACTACATAATTTTTTACTAAATGAAAGCCAACTTTATTTTCTAGTAAATCTCACCTATGGGCCAACCCAAGACACATAGCTGTCATTTCACGTGGTTCTACCCCAGGGATTAACCCATCCATCTGTGAACGAATTCCTCTCATGAGTTCATTAACAACAGGACTATGGATGCAACTGAGATTCAGCTTTTCCTATGAAAACAAGAAAATTTGTATTAAAGAAATGTAAGCTGTAAAATGATACAGTGTAACTTAGTTTTCTTCTTTTTGTTGGTTTGAGAAATCTTTTACTTATTTAGCTTCTTTAAAAAATTAAAGGTAAAACACACAGAAGAGTTTAATCAATAGTACTATAGAGAAGGGCACTGAATAAAATGCTAAATTCTGAGTCTTAGGCCCTTTCCCTACAGATAAATAACTGTTAGCATCCCTTAAGTACTTCCAAATATGCACATATATTAACCAACACCAGCATTTTAGGCCATACCTCCCTGAGCTTGCCTGATCTCCAAACATACATGTGTTAATATACATGTGTACATACATATACAAATTTTCATAATACAGTTTAAGGTTTTACACACCCCACACAGACAGGATAAATTTTTTCTCCGTACCTTCATTTTGTCACATTATAGTGTATTTGCTTCTCCTTCATACATATCTAGTTTTAGCCCATCAAAT